AGACATTCTGGTTTCAGTTAATATAGAAAAGTTATTAATTTATTTAAATTCTCATGACCAATTAAAAAAAAATTAATAAAACTGTAGAGATTTTTTTTACCATGAATATCGTGATATAATATATTTGATTGACTTAATTATTGTGGCCAAGACCCTATTAGTTATTACTATATATATCATACTAAATTTTATTCTACCGTATCAAATACTACAAACTGCAATTCAAGCAAAGACAATAAGTACTATGAATTTCATCTCTGCTTTGAAGCTAAAGAAGTATATCATTTTGTTTAGTGAGTTTTGTAAATAATTGTGTTTAGTTTGGTAAGTTGATATCATTTGTTATTGTTCTTTATAGTATTACAACGAGGAGCTCTGAACATACTTTTCACAGTAATTGTGGTTTTATCAGTTTTTTATTGTTTTCCTTATAAATTATTATTTTATTACTTATGTTTCGTTGTATACTATATGCATAATTTATATTATGAAAACAATAATTATGTTACATATGTTTTGTTTTATCTTAAATTCACATATTATTTTATATAAGTCTTTGCTTACTCTTATAGATTTATTTCCATAAAATATATTTTGATTACATCTAGCCAATTACACAAGTTTTTTTTTAAAAAAAATTGAAGATTACATAATATAAACATGAAAATTTTTGTTCAATAGTTTATTCTGTAATATGTAATTTTCTGAGTATAATTTTTAACTTTCTAAAAGCTATAGATCAAAAGTTATAATTTTTTTATCCCATTTACTCCGTGCAGAGCACGGATTACCATCTATTATAATATTAATTTTAATCCAAAAATGTATTATTTTTAAGCTTTCTGTATAATATTTTTCAGTTGAGCTTATAATACTTGTAAAAACTTGTTTAAGGCTTCAATTCTAATTTGATGGAAAAGTTCCATAATGGTTTGAAAGTGGATTTTGATCTAAAATTGCTTCAACGATTATATAAATTAATTACTTAAATAAATTATAATATTTTATCCTCATGATAAAAATATTAATTTACAAATTTTATTAGTATGTTTACTGTATTATTTTAAAATAAATCATCATTCATTTTTGTATAACTAAAATTCATAGAAATCAAAACTATTTTAATATCTATAATTTAAAATTAAAAAGTGAAAACATAAAACTGAAAATCCTGAATCCTAAAACCAAAACTAAAAACTTAAAGCCAAAAACTTAAAAACAGAAACAAAAATTTGGGTAAAAGCAGAATTTTCCTTTCAAATAATCAACACCGGCTCGAGTTTTCTTCTAGAACACAGGAAAAAAAAGCGTCCCAATTACTTTATAAACAAGAAACTATGAGATATTTTTTTTTTATTTGATTGATATGATATAGGGTGTGGGTGTCACATGGTACAAATCTTTTCCTTAACAGAGAGCATAGCTTTAATCAACATACTTGATTTGTTTTTGACTTTCCAACAATTTTTCTTCTTCAATCTGTTTTCCAAAAGAAAAACAATACACACGGAAGTTTAAATCACGACTAAATTATTCCTCAAATAATCAAAATATAATATGAACTGACACTATATGGAGAAAGCACATTTTAGTATTATCCGATGTAGATGATTAGTTGAATAATTCAGATAAAATTTTATTTGTGTGTAAAGAATAAGATTTTGTCAAACAAGAACGATTCGTGGGACACAAATGTTCCAGAACATGGCATCCTCATACATTATCATGAGTCATGACGACGAGAAGAAAAGAATCTTGTCTGTCTGTCTGTCTGTCGTATTTTTTGCTTACCAGTTTTTTTAATCTACTGATAGCTAACCAAAAAGAAAAAGTCTGTATCGCATCGCATCGCATCGCTATTTATAAAACTCGTTTTTCTTTCTTTTTATTAACTAAAAGAGATTGGATCAGGGATCCGACCACCTCTTATACCATTTGTGACGTAAGTCATTCTTTCCATGGTGGAACGAAACCAAAAGTGTAACAACATCAGCACATGCGCTTAAACCAATTGGATTACCATATGTGTGATTAAAACTCGTGTTCTACATGAACATAAAATCTTATAGTTACTTTGTTAAATATGGAGTTATTAGACCACTGTGTTACTGTCATAAGCATCATCTTCATTTTTAGTTTTTAGGGATAAGATTTCACACAACGCGTTGATCCTACGTGGTGGTACAAGCGGATACACTTTGTTGAACTTTAAAAAAATATAATATAAAATCAAAGGATATTATTAGCGTTATGCTTATCGCCAATACCCCATATTAAGCAACTAGTTATACACACATTTATACGTATTTATCATTTACAACCCATTAATCTCTGGATTTTGCACTAATCCACGAAAACCAATTTAATGCACTTTGGTTATGATATACTCGAACACCGAGTCAAGTCGCTACCAGCACTGATCAGTTTCCCAGTTCCTTCCGACGTAACTGCCGTAACGAGAAACACCAACACTCAACGTGCCGCTCCGACGAAGCATCCTCCGATCGTAAACGGCGCGTTTCTCGGGATCAGAGAGCGTGCAATACGCAGCGTGGATCTTCACAAACTCGTCCGCCGACCGACCGTTTCCCGCCACGTCGGGATGGCAGATTCTGGCCAGCCGCCGGTAAGCCGATTTGATCTCTCGGCTCGTCGAGCCTACGGGAATTTCGAGGATCTCGTAGAGAGACGCCGTCGCCGACGATCGCTGCGGGGTGTGGCGCAATCTCGGTGGTTCGTCGACGCATGTGTGGAAGGAAGAGGTGGTGGCGGAAAGAGGCGGCGATATCCGGGAAGTTCGAGACGGTGGTGAGAGGGAGGAGAGAAATGGAGGAGTGAAGAAGGTTGGGGAAGAAGAGAGCATCGTGAAACGACGGCGTTTGCTGTTTTAAATTTTTTAGTTCCAATTATATGATGAGAGGCAGTGTGATTTTGGGTGGAAGTTTAAAGAAGAGAGAGTTTTAATTTATAGGCGTAGAGGCAATGTTTTGAATACTGGATCTGATATCGGAATAGCTATTGGTTTGACGGGTTCAATCTGTCGAATCGGGTTTTCTATTTTCAAAAAGCTAAACACATATAATTATATATTTACAATATATAGACTTGAAAAGTAATTTTACATATATTATAATTGTTGTGAAATAAAGAAGAAGGTTGTAACTCTCATTGTATTATTAATCACGTGGTTACACATATATATATACATACAAGAGAATAAAGCATATTCCTTAGGAGATAAGGATTGCTACAAATAAAGGGGATGATTATCCTAATCCTATAATGATTAGGATAACTACAACATATGGATAAACACAAGGGAGGATAGTGAC